TGAGGGAAAATCTGCAACTGTGTGGGACACAGACAAAACTATAAATCCTCATTTTATTATTGTAGGATAAGGCTAGAACCAATTGAGCATTTTACTCATGTTCATGTCCCTGTTGCAGATTTTCCCTCTCTCGTCTAGTAAAACGGTTATCACTGTGACAGAAAGTGAGAAGACATTTCTCCAACGGAGCCCCAGGTAGCAGAAAACCTGACAGGGGTTCTACTTTTATCCCACTCTATCCAAAGCTAAAATATACCTTTACCTTTTAAATAACAGAAATCAACAATCTGCTACCACAAAGGCTACCAACACTAACCACCTCCCCACTACTGCTGCATAGTAACCATAATGTAAAACCACTACATTAGGAATCCAGATCGAGTGGTCCTTCAGCAATATTACCAGTTCTGGGCCAAGAAGGCCACTTACCTCTAAACACTGCCTCTACTTATTTAGCTTTCACAGATTTTGGCATTTTTGCTTTTCTTTTCGTATAGGTGTGTATCACATCGGAGCACAAGCTATAGTGCAGTAACTGTGCTACGAGGCATGTAATCTTACACTATACCAATCTGTTATTTCTCATCTTACAACTTTAAATCTACTCTACATATTCATATATCTTCACTGTTTCACCCTCAGCTACTATGCTGGATATATTTGTGTATCTCACGGGGCCAAGATATTCTTCAACTCTACTGCTCCTAATAACATGAATGGTTCAAAGTATGTCCCAAGGAAAGGATTTTGCCTGCAAGCAATGAGAATGACTAGAACCAATCACAGTACAAGAAGAAGCAGAAAAACCTAAGGAACATGTATATTTTTTGGCTACTGCTGTATGCCATGCTGACTAAACAAGGTGGGAGTAATAAGTCCTATCTTGTAAAATAAGGAGCTTGTAAATGTTCATTTAGTATCAAACTGTGATAATTAATGTACACATTGCTTCCAAAACAAGCTGCTAATGAAAAATGATTTATGTAGGGCACCGCAGAGAGCTAAATCAAACATTCGCTGAGTTGCTACCTCCACTGGGGTACAAACAGCACTAGAATTTTTTTTAACCTGGGGAACTGTTTTAACCTGCATTTTTATTACCTGGGGAACCTTCTAAAAGAGGGACTGTCCCTAAAAACTACAATCATCTAGTCATCCTATTCTAAATTAACAATAAATATAATCATACCTTTTTCGTGTGAAAAAAGGTACATAATAGCAAAATAATCTGTACAACACCAGCCGGTGCAAATCTTAATATTAATTATAATAAAAATATAATAATACAAGAATAACGCTTTAATCAACAATTAAATAATGGTAATACCTCTCTTTAAAATAGTTACTTACTGCCAGAAATGTAAAAGCCAACATGACTGTGGGGAACAGCAGATACTTGGGGGTTCATTTATATAAATGCCGTTTGCACGGCACTAGCTCCCCTAGAAGATGCTGATGAGTATAGGACATTTCAATGTTCTTCAGCGGCATCTAGGGGCACTAGTGATATGCAAAGATTTATAAATGAACCCCCAAGTATCTGTTGTTTCCTATACTCAGTAGCGTCATCTAGAGTCGCTAGTGGCATGTGAATGGCATGTTTAAAATTTGACCCTCAAATATGATGCAAATGTAAACAATTGTACTATTATCAGTAAATCCGGGTTTACTTCAGTACTATCTCCTTGTAGACCATGTGCAGAGAATTCTTATTCCCTGAACACAAGATCTTTTCCATAATTATCTTTAAGCGACTGTCACTTATTTGTCCCTGCAAAAGAAGAAACTAAATACCTCCTACCACTGCCCATGCCACCAATGCACTGTACCACCCCAGATATCACACCCCTCACCGTAGTCGGCTGAACGATCAATACTCCGAAAGTATACATTTCTATAGAGACTTTATGGAGCAAGTTCTCTGCATCGCAGCAACATTGGGAGGTGTGGGCAGTGGGAGAGGTGAGTATATAGCTTTTTCTTCTGCAGCAACAGATTTTGAGACAGAATGATTTTGGTTGACAGAGTCAACTTAGGGTCTGATAAGCGTCTGAAATGTTCATAACTGTACTTGTGTATGTATTATATCTATATTATATATAATGTGTATGTAATATAAAGATGCTCCAGCACAGTGCAACTTTTCGAGAATGCGCCAAAAGGCAGAGTCGTGCCATCCTCTTATTCTTCTGCTAATGTGCAATTTGTAATGTTTAATCCCATGTTTTTACATGGCATGTTTTTACATGGCGGGTGTAAAGAAAAAGCTGACCTTGCATTTTAACATATGGTCTCCTTGAAGGCTTCATTCACATTATGCGATTTGGGACTCCTGGGGCAGGAATCCCAAATGTACCGTTTAGCTGCGGCCACTGTACCTGTTCAATTTCATGACTGGGCGACAGCGGCCGTATCTATGTAAATGGCAGTCCGCATGCATCCAGAAACAGTGATCTATTCTAAACCACATGTAATCGTATGCGGACTGTTGCTTACAGATGAACAGGTACAGCAGTCATAAGCCAAGCAGGAAATTTGGGGTTTCTGCCACAGGAATCCAAAATCGCGTAGTGTGAACAAAGCATAAGTTGAAGATGTAGCATCCGATCATTCTTAAATTTGGCAAACTATTTAATCTACAAAATTATCAAAAGCTAAATACCAAAGGAAGATAATGGCAAGCAAACCTAAAGAAAAACAAATAAGTGGGTGTATTTTACCACATGCCAGGCATTTTCATTCTGTGTACCTTTACAGAAAATAAGGCAAATCAGAATGCATTTTCACAAATATTAATCAAGAAGATGACTATCCAGGTATACATCTGCAGGTTTTATAAAACAACTGCTATCAGTCACTAGGAAACAATTGCTCTTAGTCTCTGAAATAACTGATAGCGAGGACTTGGCAAACAGCTGAACATGCCTACACTAATCAGTGACACAAATCTCCAGTGATAGAAATTACCATGTCATTTAATAGAGCCCTATCTGTATTCCACTGCATTACTGAAGTTATAAAATGATATTAGAGTCTGCATTGTGGTCAGCTTTTCATCAACTCCCCCATCCTTATTATCATTTTACGCGCTGGGAATCAGTGCAGAAAAAAAAGGAGACTCGCAGCTTTTCATTAGATCAGTTACGACGGAAATCTATAGTAAATATCAAAAAAATTCCAAATCTAACTTCCTGGCTTGTGAATCAGCGAGGGAATGCGCTCCACAGCGGCAATAAAAAGAGAATCCTGGTAACCTTGAATGTGCATTATGTGGCTGCACATACACCCTCAGGCTGGGCTTTCATTCAGTTACAGCACTGCCTTCAGCAGCATTACCATGTCAATGGCGAAGCTTGTCTTTGGCTCGCACGTTTATAAGATCGCTTACAGAAAATGGATTAAAATCAGACCAGCAGCTGGAGATGTGAAAGTGTGTATAGAAATTGCGGGTTGTCAGCATAGGGCTACTTTGTTTTTTTAATTGCCTGCATTTTCTACAAAGATGCCTGGGAGCAAACTGCTTTGCATTATAATACAGTATATAGAAATTTTTCAGTATGGAAATATTTTAGCAATCTGGTACATATATATTATGCAAATTCATAACTGTATGGAAGCTGCTGGATCTTTGTTACAATGTCAAGGTAGCCACACACTATTAGATTTCTCTTGTTCATGAGAAAAATCTATCAATTCCCCTATCCACGCTACACAGTGTGGATTGAGGAATCCCCGCTTCCAGCTATTGTATTCAGCAGTCACTGCTCTCATGGTTGCTGAATACCCAAACAGTGCCATCATCTGATTGGATGCAGCCACTGTTTAGCCATTCATTTACCACATGGGTCCTTTGAAACCAGTGATGGCGACAGAGCCAGCCACAGCTCGAATTTTGGCCAGTTTAAAAGGAATTAGATGAAATTTGAAGCTGTGGGTGGCCAGCGTTGGACTGGGGAGATCTAAAATTTAAAGAGAAACAAGACCTGCCCATGGTCTACGTAGTCATTAATCCAGATCAAGCATGCAGGTGTGGAAATTTGACTTCACTCTGCTTGTTTCCAGGTTAATCAGACAATAAGTAATGAGGGAAAACAAAATAGTCAATAAAGTTGTTACTTTTTTTATACATAAGTTGCTTATTAGTTAGGCCTCATGCACACAGGCCTCTTGCATTATGAGGCGAAGTTATTTGGGAAGTATACACAACTTTTATGCTTCCCAGACTACTTTTTACTGTACTTAGATTTTCCTGGGTTTTGCATGTAGCATTTAGACGTGTAAAACAAGGCTAAACGGTCCCGGGACTCAGAAAATTCTAGTTTGCCTAAACGCAGCTAGACTGAATCCACCTAGATGCTGCTGAACTACTAGGTGTGGATTCAGCCATAGCCATATTTTAGCGTTATGGGTATGTGACTCCCAAGGGTTCATGGGCCAGAGTAAAAATTCTGTTCACAGAATGATGATCACTAACAGGGTTATTCACAGAAGGGTGAAGAATTTGAAGAAGGGAGGAGAAGTGAACAATCTAGGACAACATAGCTGAACTGGAAAAATTCTCCAATTCAGCTCATTTTCCAGTTCAGCTATGTTGTCCTAGATTGTTCACTTCTTCTGGCTTCTCCAAACTCTTCACCCTTTTGTGAATAACCCTGTAAATTTCCTCTTGGTAACAGATACAGAGTGGGCATCAAAGCATCATGCTCTTGCTATATTTTTTCTTCTTAATTTTAAGCTTTACAGGAATACTGTTTGCTACATTTCACATATTGAATGAGTTTGACATGATCCAAAGTTGCCTTCAACTCTTAAAACCTTTAGAATGGTTTTAAACAGCCATACTGTGCAATAAAGCAGTCACGCATGACGATCCAGCAAGTCACAATCCCCATACTTAAGCTTTTTTTTCTAAACATAGTATTCATTATCATATCTATCATACCCGCCGACAGGTTTCAGAGCGCAATATGCACTTGCCTGAAATAATTGTACATACTTACCGGTAATGTCAAACCACAATGGTGAGCCCAAAGGTTGTGTAGTTATCATGCCAATCATATGAGCAACAGGATCACTTTCCATCACAGTGAAGGTAAAAAATGGTTCTTCAAAGGAAATCGGTTCCATTAGCAGTGTTGGTTTTGCAATCCATTCAATATGCAGTCGAGTGCTAGATGACTTCTGAGGTCTCCCATTATCAACTGCTTTAATCTGTAAGTGTGAAATAAAGCATATAAATCAAAAAAGTACTAATCAATAGCTGCAACAATGCAATACAGATAATTATTATTTATGCCACAGAAAATGGCTTATGTCCTGCTGGAACTTTTCCATCTTCTGCACAGTAATGGGTCCAGTCTCATGCATGAGCAACCTTAAGCTAATCATGTTACGGAGCAGAAAACCCATGAATGGGCTCCCTAATGATAACCAGTCTCTGATGGGTTACTACAGGGCATGGCTCATCACTGCTCTCAGTACACTGTTTAAAGTTACTGTTCCAAAGATAATAATTTTCGAAACTATATGAAGGCCCGTATTAGTGGGATGTTGTCACAGACATGGGCCTGTGTAAAGCCAAAACTATTAACTGTGGCCATTATACATACAATATAGTCTGCTGTAAAAAGTCCTTCTTATTGAAATGGCTTGGCGTATTCACTGCAGTGGACAAACACAAAATATTGTCTTGAATTTATACATATAAAGTCTAAAGGCTCCTTATGTGTTTATTAATTTTACTTATTTATATAAGATTGGCAGTTATTATACAGTGTTCTCCAGGGAATGCTTCCTTATTAACATTAGTTTCTTTGTCACAAAGAAGCTTACAATCCAATGTCCCCATCCCAGTTCTACACAATACGGGTCATTTCTGGCTACAAGCCAATAAAAGTATGTGTCCTGAGTTTGTTGGAGGAAAGTGGAGCACACAGGCAAAACCAGGGGAAAATATGGGGAGGACAAACTACATGCAGATAGGTGTTTTATCCGGCAACAACATACAAATGCTATATGCCAGGGATTCCGAATCATATATTTAATTAGATGGTTTCCAAATACTATCTTTTAAGTAGAACTCCAGAACTTTATTTTACTCATTGTGATCCATATTATGGGGCATGCTTTTATTTTCAAATTTCTAATTCCCATACATTACTGATAACAGTTAACATATTTGGAGATAAAAAACAATATGCAGGCTACATGGAGGAAAATAGCATGCAAATACCAAAGTGCCTGTAACTACCTGCCTGTTCTACTCTCCCGCATGAAGAAAAGATGCATTCCAGCTACAGTAAATATAGTTAGTAATGACTGGTAGTTTGTTAACCTCTGCATACAGTGCAACACGTGTAATCCATCAATTTCAGAGACAAAGTGTGACCTTAATGATGGACTTCTTATCTTTTTGCATCATTTTGCATCATTAAATTATAGCATCTAGATCAGCGGTTCTCAACCTTTCTAGTGCCGTGACCCTTTCATAAAATTGCCCAAGTTGTGGCGATCTCTAACAGTAAAATTATTTTCGTTGCTCCTTCATCGCTGTAATTTTGCTACCGTTAGATAGCTATTAGATAGCGGCTCCCGGCCGCCCGGGAGAGAAACACTTTCTTCTGGAAAGGTTCACTCTGCTCGATCGAGCAGAATAAACATTTTCCTGCTCTGGTTTTTTTTTTTTTTCTGACCGGTGCCGCCGGCCGCCGTCAGTCAGGGGAAAAAACAGCATAG